GATATTGATATATATTGATATATATCAAATCAAATCAAATTCAAATTTTATTTGTCACACACACAACCATATATATATATATGGGTTTCCAAATATATATGGAAACACACACACACATCACACGTGTGTGTGTGTGTGTGTGTGTGTGCGTGTGTGTGTGTGTGTGCGTGTGTGCGTGTAGACATATAAAAATATGGAGCTGGAAATGAGGATGGCAGGTTTATTCTAAACCCCTTTGGACACCTTTAAAAACCTTAAGCATCTATAGTGGCCTATCGCTCCACTGGATAAATTTTGAAAACCCTGAAAATGTGTTTTCAGAAGCATGCTGTCTTCTCTGAGACATAATTGTCAGTGACTTAGAATCGCCCGTGATCCTCTAGAGGACAAGTGGTTTAGCTGATAGATCAATAATTTTTCTTTTGGACAAGGGGATTCAATTCAAAGTGCCCGAATCACACAGTAGTATGTCTGCTGCTGTTAAAACCTTTAAAATTGTTTTAATGTTGCTGACAGGTGTACATTTGTTGGGATCAAATAAGGCACAAAAAGAAAGAGACGTAAGCAGTGACAAGATAATCAAGAGCTGTAACTCTTTGCACTCAAATCTCAGTGCTGGCAATAAATGAAGACTCCCATGTTGGCATTTAACATTTTAACATTGAATGCATGGCTTACTGTCTGAATAAAGTCTGCACAGTTAAAAGTTTGCACTGCAACATGGCAGTAAGTTCACTGTAACTACAGGCACCAGATCTCAGTCCAGGGGAGCACCTTTAGGATGTGGTGGAGATTTAAGCCAGCAAAAGAGGATCTGACCAAATACTGGCAAGATGTACCTGATGAAATGCCCAGTGAGAGTATATTAATTTATACAGTTTAATGCTATCTTATAAGATCACTACCAAATATTACTTAAAACTGACTTCAAATCACAAGTTAAAATTTTATCAGCTACTTGTAAATGCCATTTATCCTACACCAAGGTCAACACTAATGTTTCCACACTAAAGTTCATCCTAGCTATAAAAGCAGTAGTGTGTCTAAGGCCTACAGTATGATGTTACCTTGCCCTTGCTGTGCAGGTGGTGATGGTGCAAGTTTCTGGCAGCAATCATGGCGAGCTGTCTCTGGATCCACTGTAACTCCATCTGAGACTCCCTCAGCAGGTTCTCCACATTAGCACTGGACTTGTGATCCCGCATTATCACCTGCAACACCAGTCCGCAGGTTACATAGTGAATCTATGATGCAAACCTCATATTCTGCACACACACACACTGACGGTGCAATGCTGGAACAGTGCCATCAGCATATATACAAAGAGAAGCATGTACGCATCATTGAATAATCGAGAACTATTGCTTTTTGACCAGCATCAATAGGTGTCATTTATTAAAGTTGAATACTTAAGGATTTTGAGCTACCTTTGTAGTTTGTGTCTGGTTCAGATTTATATTTTAGTTTCACTAAACTTCACCTGAAAATAGAGCATATTTATGTGCATTCTTTAGTAGTTCAAAAACCTATCCATCTAATCACCATGTTTCCAAACAAGCAATAACATATAGTGTGTTTGATCGATATTAAAATGACAAATAACTGTACATCATGAACAAAAAGCATCTCAAATATTTCATTATAATTCATAATTATTGTTTTCTCAATGCTTAGCTGACTTGAAACAAACAAATAATCTGGCAGACAAAACCCTTTGACTGAATTGACAGAAAATATGCAAATTCAAATTCAAATTGTTGCAGTGCATAAGCTAAAAATGAAAAGTCTGCTGCTGAGAAAAAGCACTAATGCACTAATAAAGAGCTTTTGACACTTACTGTACAAATCCTTCATCTTCTTTCATTAAAAAATCAACACGCAACTTGTTTGTTCATTTTGAGGAACACAGTCAGTCCTTGAGAGTAAAAGTCACATTTTTAAAAGATGAATCATTATTCCAATTGAACTCCGTTGCCACCCGCACAAGTTCGTCCACATATACATGTAGGCACTGACTAGTATGTTCATGTGTGTGTCCATGTGCGTGTGCGTGTGTGTTATCACTGAGAGAGAGCTTCATTCGGTTACATAAGAGAGGATTAGTGCACAGACACACAGTGAAGGGGTGTGTGAGTGTGTGGAGGGTATGGTGGAGGGGGGCATGGAAAATACAACAGCTCATATTAATTGATACTAAATCTCCATCTATGTTGACATGCTTTGTGCGTTTGGTCAAACAGACGCTGACTTCCACACAGGAGTGTTGCATTCACACTAACTATACAGAGCACAGATACATGCAGGGTAGAGACGGTTAATGATGCTTGCACCTCAGGGGATTTGACTTATTGGACTCTACCTAATCTACACTAACAAATGCTCCAATGTCTGACTGTCTGTTTTTTAATTTGTGTTTTTTTTTAATACTAACAAGATCAGATTCCTTTTTTTTTCCTTTTTGCTTTTCATTTTTGATTCATTCATTCAAAAAGTGGCTTTTTTTAAATAAATGAATGCCATTGTGTTAAAAACTAATGACCAAAGACAAAAAAGAATAATAACTGGCCTCTTCTTCTTCTTCTTTTTGCATTGTTTCTCTTAAAACCTCGGTCAAATGCTTGAACAGATTCTCTGTGCTGACTCACCTTGGACAGCTTCTACTTCCTTGCAGGGGGTTGTGGAGGAGGAGAAGGAGGAGGAGGACAGACAACAACAACAACAGCAGCACACAGAGCTCAGGAGTCTTACAGATTTATGCAGAAGTATCCCACCCTTCAAAGACCTCTATGAACCACCTCTGAGAGCCAAAGCATCTCTGTCGCAGATTTATCAAAGGCAGAGAGAGTGACATTATCCAGGCCTGATTGGGATTTCACATTTTTTATTTATATATTAAATAATCTATAGATCCATTATTTTAATGAATTCCATTACAGTATTTTTTTTTAAATTCAAAACCATCCCCTTTCTCTAAAGATTTAAGTTTATTACTGCGGTGAGGCAATGTACTTAGCTCATATTGATTCTGAGCAAATAGCTCTTCACTGTTTACACACAAGTAATAAGAGCTCATTTAAAGAAGACAAATGAACTAGAAACTGAATTTAGAAGTGGATTCATTGCATTGTTTGAAATTATATTTCATTAAGTTAGCTGTGAATGGCTGTTAAGTGTTAGTGCTGTACACAACTGTTCAGGAGCTGAAAAAATGTGTTTGCAAATCCGAAAAAGTACAAATATTATGGACTAATAGATATAATGCTGCATCATAAAAACTGCAAACGCCCTCATCTATGATGCTTTAAAACTTCTGCAAGGACTGTATTTCATAGTTCTTACCCACTTAACAAATGGTCTTCAGCTTCTCTCATCCTCTTCACAAAGAGGGTAGTATCATGCCCATCTTGTAGTCCACCATAAGCGAAGCCTACGAAAATTATAAATAGAATTCTAATTCTAATCTTCAAAACTGTAGGGATTTCCTGCAGACTCCGTAGCCTCCATGGTTTGGTGCTTGTGGCGTGTGTCTCAGTACATTTTTGGAGCGCTTCTCCCTCATATGACGTGTTCTTTTGAAGCAGAAGTCAGTTATGATTCAGAATCTTTCTCTCACAGCGCTCTTGTACCCAAGGCGGCCTGCTGTGTGCCCATATGGCAAACTTAACAAGAGCATGAAATATGAACAGCAGACGGAAAAAGATCATCTAAGGCAAACCTTAACCTCACCTGTACGAGGGGAGAACACCCTCGATAATGCCTGGCTGTATCCTTGCAGTGTAGTTAACTGTGATGTTTTAATGTAGGTTTAAGACTATATGACACGCAGAAGTGTGCAAACGTTTTGAGTACTCCTTAATTTCTTTATATTTTGCTAAGAAATTAGGAAACATGTACAATGGAAATAAAAACAAAGTATATAACTCAAACATATGGACAACATTTATTCTTCAAACAGCCTAAACTCTCTAAGGCAGCTTTCTTCTTCTTTTCTTCAAGTAGTTTTCGGGAATAGCTCTCCAAGTTTCTTGAGGAAATTCACATCTCTTCTTTGGATGTTGGATGGCTTTTGCTCTGTTCTCTGTCAAGATGATCCCACACTGCTTCAATAATGTGAGGTTCGTGCTCTGTGGAGACCAATTCATGACTGATAGTATTCCATTGTGTGCTTTTTTTCCCAGCTTTCCCCCAGCTGGTTTTGCATGTAGGATCCAGGTCTGAATGTACTTTTCTACCCCTTTATTTTATCAATTTTGACATGATCTCCAACACCACTGTCGGCAGTCCCAAACCACGACAGCGCCTCTACCATGTTTTAACCATGCCTATAGACCCTCACTATTGTACCTCTGTCATGACACAATGGGGATTTGAAGTAAAAACTTTAAATATAGATTCTTAATGCTTATTGCCATTGATTTTTAGTCCAGATCAGGTGAAATTTGGCATACTTCAGCTTCTTCTCCCCATTCCCCTGCATTATGAATGGCTTCTTCACAGCCACCCTTCTACTAAGACCATTTCTGATGAGACCTCAATGAACATTAGACAGATCAACTGAAGGGCCACATCTTTCAGGTCTTGTATCATGTCTTTGCTGGATGCTTTGCCATTTTCGACAGTAATGACTTTAAGACCGTTCATCTGCTGTAAATACGTTTTTTAGGCCTGACACTACACACCATGCTGAGATATACCAAGGTTTTGGCTAATAGCTCTTTGAGAACACCTTGCTGATGCAAATCATCATAACATTTCCTTAGTTTTTTTCAAATATTCAACTAAAAAAAAATGTACGTGTTATGATTCATAAAACAAGGGCAGTGATAAGTGGCTTAAGAAAAAAAAAAAACTGTTCCTCTGAAAATGGTCAGGTACAAGGACCGGAGCAAAAAACACAACCACTGTCCAAAGATAACGAGGGGTGACGAGATTTTTGCTCAGTACAGTATAACAAATTAAACATCTCCTGCCTGATTTTGGAGGACCAAAATGCAGCCACATTAAGTGAAAATACGCAATGCACTGAATGACTTTGTTGTTTAACTAGAAGCAGAAAACTTTAGAGCTTTAGCATAACATTTACCAACAATTTCCTGTTTACATTCTTTGAATTCTTGAAATTGTGTGTAATTGATTTCAAGTAACAATGCCTTCAAAGACCATCGGTTCTAGAAAATGTTTTTATTGGCATACAACAGTCAATTTATGTGTCTTTTACTGATGTTTTCAGTCCCCCAAAAAAGCATCTAATTTTCATGGAGAAAATTTGGGCAACACTTTCTGAAAAGCACTTCAGATAAAAGATGAACGAGTGTAAAAAGGTTCTAACAAGGCAAATGTGGTCCGTTGTTTTGACTCATTTTATGTCAGACAGAAGTGCTGTCCTAACACGTCTCCCCCTCCTTTTAGTAACCGTGTGGCAGTTTCAAATTCCAGTGGAACGCTCTTGATCTCAGGTTGCTTCAGGTCTTTTTCCATCAGCTGTGAAAAAGAAAATGAAATAACTTATTCATCTAAACCAAATTTAATTTGACCAGAAATAAGAGGAAAACTAATTCTTGAAGCGTCACCTCATACGTTGTGACCTCTAGTGTCTCACTGATGTCATCCTCCTGTTCTGACAAAGGTGTGTTGATCAGCAGTGCAGCTTTAGCCACATCTGGATGGTAATGCTTTTGCAGCGACTATAGAAAAGACAACAGGAAAATGTGTTATTTTAGTGACTCCTCCACTTAAATTGGACTTTCAATCGTTTGCGACATCTCTTCAACATGTTTTCCGCAAAGAGAAAAAGATGAGAACTATCAAAACTCAAAAGTCAGTTGTCATCAGCGACAGAGGTAATTCTTTTGGGGATTCTAAAGTTATTGCCTGCACACCTTAATTTCCCACAAGCTGCTTTCTAAGGCACGGCACTGAGCAGGATCCTCTTCATCCATCAGATAAGGATCCTCAAAAGGTTCTGTCACCACACACAAAAGCAAACATTTATCACATATCCTACAGACAATTCATACAGACAGTTAACACACCGATCCCAACTACAAAAGTCTGAAACTCACCATCTTCTGCGCTGGGCTTGTGAATGAGGACTCTGCAGGACGGGTGGCGACGGATCAGGTTGTAGATGAAGGGCAGCACTAAGAGAAGGGCTGTAGGCGGTGCCGTGAGAGCCAGACGAGCCAGACGTTTGGCAAATGCAGCCACTAAGTAAACTGGCAAGTGACTGAAGGAAACCAAAAACAGAACATGCATTTTAGCAATGTAGATCCTGAGCTTTCATGCTCATTATTTAAGTGTAGGATGCTTATATTTGGTCTGTTTAGCAGCTCAAATAGTTCAGCCAAAGCTCATAAATAATAACAGCAGTTCACCCACAAAGCAACATTCATGCTGTGTAAAGAGTAAAAACCTGAATGCAATAATTTACAGATTTGATAAACTCACAATAGAACATAGAAAACATAAAAAATGTTTAAACTGAGTAAAAGGAACACATTTCAAAAAAGTCTGGACAGGGCATAGTTTACCACTGTGTAGTATTGTCTTTCTTTTAAACATCTGGGAACTGAGGAGAGCAGTGGCTGGTATAAGTTTCTGATACAGGATTTTAACAGCTAACAGCTGGTGCAGCACCGTGACTTTTCAACAGTGAAGCCATGCATCTGTAATATATCCAATATGGAGTTTAGCGTTGTCTTGGTAAAAAAAAAATGCAAGGCCTTTAATTGGAAAAGACTTAATCTGGATGAGAGCACACACTGCTCTCAGCAGTGATGATTCCATAGGCACCGATGCACCTTCATACCATCAGGGACTAAACAAAGTGCTAAAAAACCTGAATGGTTTCCTCCGTAATCCGGAGGATGTGGTGTCCATGTCCAACAAAACAGTTTTCCACTTTGCCTCAGTCCATTTTAAATGAGCTTTGGCCAAGAGAAGATGGCGGCTTTATTGGATCATGTTCACATACGGCTTCTTCTTTGTATGACAGAGCTTTAACCTGCAATTGTGAGTGACACAGTGAACAATGTTCATAGACAATGATTTCTGGATTTGCACCTAAACTCATGCAGGGATTTCCATGACAGGCTCAAGGATCATGGGTATCCAGTATTGACTTCAGCGTGAGATTTCTCCAGATTCTCCAAATCTTTTTATTTTATGTATTGTAGCCTACAACTTTATGTCAAGGAACACGATTCTGAAATTGCTGTAAAATTTAAAGACTGTTTTTGCAAATTTGCTCTGAGAAACTCTGCCTCTCTAAGATCCTCTTTATATATCCCATCATGTTACTGACCTGTTGCCAGTTGTCCTAATTAGTTACAAAATATTCCTTCAACAACTTCTTTTTAATACCACTTACTTTTCCACCCTTTTTTCCCCTCAGTCCCAACTTTTTTGAGATGTGCTGCCATTAAATTCAAAATTCAAAATATTTTTCATAGAAAATCTTAAAACTGTTTTCTATGTTCTATTGTGAATAAAATATCGATTTATGACACTCAAAAGTCAGTGAATTCTTTTTTTTTTTTTTAATTTA